GCTGGCCATCAACATGCTGCAGGAGGCCAAGGCCTCGCTGAAGCGCTGTCGTCTGCTATCCAACGAAACTGAGCTGCCAGGCAATGCTATAAAGCTGAACGATATCCTTCTGCGTTTCTTGATGCACGAGCACGTAGACTACGCACTGGAGTTGGGCCTGCAGGCAGTGCCGCTTGCCGAGGGTAGGGTCTTTCCCCAGCTCTACTTCTTTGATGTAGTGCAAAAGACGAACATCATTGTTCATCTGCTGGACAAGCTGTGCCACACATCTGTTATACCCTGTGTGAGGTATGTTAGAACTTTGTCAATTAACGTTTTATAAAATTTATAATATATTCATTACTAGTAATACGCCCAAGTACTCGGACTATGTGTTCAAGAAGCGTATTCTGATGGAGCAAATCGAGACCAAGCTGGACCAGGGTCTGGACCGCTCCATCAGCGCTGTTATTGGCTGGGTGAAGGTATATTTGCAATATGAACAAAAGAAAACCGACTACAAGCCGGAAACTGATGTAGATACAATTTCTTCAGCGGTAAGATAGAAATATCGTTAATTCAATCCCGCATTAGCTTAAAAATTATTATATTTCTCCTCTAGGCGTGCTTACAAGTCGTGCAGAATCTGCAGCCAGTGATTGTGCAGATTAAAAAATGTGTTGATGGGGAGAATTTGCAGAATGTTCTTACAGAATTTGGAACTCGGTTGCACCGAGTGATCTACGATCACCTGCAGACCATGCAGTTCAACACGGCGGGCGCCATGTGCGCCATCTGCGACGTAAACGAGTATCGCAAGTGTATCAGGGAGCTGGATAGTTCGCTGGTTACGCAGCTGTTTGACATACTACATGCATTGTGCAACTTATTGCTTGTTAAGCCCCAAAACCTTCAGGAAGTTTGCACGGGTGACACTCTGGTAAGTGGGCGGTGTCTTTGATTTTGACCGATGGTATTACGTTACCTTCTGTATCAACCCTACTTTATTTAGAATTATCTGGACAAGTCGGTGGTGCGGCAATTCATTCAGCTGCGCACTGATTTCAGGATCATCAAAAACACCAACTACCTGAAGGGCATTATTGAGTGAGGAGGAGAAGGACTACCAGAATGATTCACATTCCAAAATTTTCCACCTCGCTGTCTGCGAATTAAATTGATTTATTAAAGGGTTCATTATCTAATGATATTTAATAATGGTTTGCTATGTTCTTTAACTTTCAATTAAAGTCAAGTGGCTGGTTACTTTTATCAATACATCTCCCGCCCGAGTCACTTGATTTACTTTCGTGTATTTATAGGCGCGACTCACACGCCGCCCAACCACCCACTCCCAGACCCACACACGCCTCCAGCTACGTCATGGACTTCCCATTTGAAAATCTTCAAAGTGATTCGGTGTCCTTATCAGTTGGAGCTGGAGCGAAAGTCAGCGTTATTTGCTCCAATCGGCTTCCAGTCAATAAATCAAAGTTTATTGCTTGAGCGTCCGCGAATTATTTATTTATTTACGTTTGCCCAGAGAGTGCCAGCACTCCAATCGAAAAGAGAGGCCGGCTACTTTTGTTGGGCCCCACTATTCCTGGTGTCAGTCACCTATTAGCCAGCAAGCAAATCGTATCGCCAAAAAAAACGTTGCCAACCCGTGATCCTGATTATCGAACTTCTTTGTTATTGTTATTGACATTTGTTATTTGCACACCTACGCAAAATTCGTTTGCCCGATATTCTAATCAAACCGCGATCAAGATCTCAAACAGTCGATTAAGACATGCGTGGCGCCTTAATGGATTACTATCTGAAAATACTCTTGGTCATTTGTGCTGTCCACGAATTGGCTGGCGGAACGATCAAGTCCACCAGAGATGCTGTTTACAAAAAGTATCTGTCCCTTCGATCTTTGCCCTTCGAGGATTGTGGTGAGTATATCTCAGGATCAGTGCTTTTCAGTGGGTCGAATTCAACAACGTATAAAATCAATTGATTTCCACAGGGGGAAAAAACGGCAAGAAATGGAAACACCATGACATTCAAAAAGAAACCTTTAAATAGGAAATAATCTAAAAGTCGTTCGCCTAAAATGTTGTCTTTCGGGGAGAAACCGAATACTAAATAGGAATTACTTCCGCAGCACCCATTTTCGCTAATTTTAGGGAATTGAATATTTTGCAGAGTAATTCCGATTAGATCTCTATCAAGTATATTGTAAATTTGACAGGGCACAATCTGACAACTTAACCTGCTGCTTCCAAAAACAAAAGAAAACGATATAACCTAGATTCTCGACTATCAGATACCCCTTACTCAGCCGAAAGGAGTCCGAGTAACGGCTTGTGGGCGCTTTCAACATTGCCAAAGGTTTAATTTTTATAATGTGTGCATGTTAGTTGTTACTTGCTTCCTGTTACTTTCTATTTAACGACTCTAGTATACCCTATTAGTCTACGAGTAAAGAGTAACAGTCGTAAAGGGTAATTCCCCGGTATGAGCGCCCTACTATATACAGTGTGACATGATAAATCTAATTTATGATGCATTACCATAATGAATCAAACGAAAAATATTATCAGAGTATAATTTGAAAGTGGGTTAGATAGATGGCAGTAAGAAATGATTTTCCCATGACATCAACAAAAAACCCGAATATAATTACTGGGTGCCATTACTTCATTATCAGCAGAATGTGAAATTAGATTTACCTCAGTGACTTTGCAACCAAGGAAAACGAAATCAATTTTTTAGTTACCTAGCTTGCTTGATCTTAGGGCATTGAGCCTTCGTCATCAAGGCTTCGTTTCCCAGAGCACGAGCTATTAATTGTATTCTGGTTTTTACGATGTTTGATTAAATGGAGTATTTATGGACTGTGCACTGTTAATATATGATTTATGTTCTAGATTTGAGGAACTGTAAACAAACAGATGTGACGCCCTTATGGGGGATTACCTTATGACGCTGATAGACAGGCGAACGCCTTCTTGGGGGGGACAGTAATCAATTAAGAACCAAATTAATAGAGTGTTTTAATCTAATGCTGAACACGGTTCGTGTTAAAGATAGAAACTGTTTAATGGCCTTGAGAAGTGCACTTGGTCACAGATTATAGATTATTCAGAAATGCGTGTATATGGGTGGTCGTCGTCTGTGTGGATCGGAGATAACTCGACTTAGTTGCTGCGAAAGTTTTTCATTAAAGTTTTTAATTTGTTGCCAGGTGCCAGGTAGGTGAACGGCATGTACTATGTCACGTACCCAAATCCATTCAGGATAGAGTTGCCCAACTTAGCCAACATCCTTATTGTGTTCAAAGGATCTAATCCTTTTTGGCTTAAGTTCTTAGGCTGGTAGATCATATCATATCTGCTGTTACTCTATTCTATTGATATACTAACTATTACATCTTTCAGGTTCTTTGTACCAGGTCAGCTACCTGGACATCGAAAGCTGTACGACACTGCCTTGCTCCATGGGTCGGAACGCGACCATTAAGGTTACCGTCCGCTTCGATGATAATGGTAGGTGCTCCGCTGATAACACCAGACCCGTGCATTCGGAATACATAGAGTCGGCTTCTGGGCAAAAGTCGGAAATAAAAATAGATCTGGTGCGGGCGAAGAATATCGATCAGGTGAATGGCGGATGATGGGTGGGGCAAGGTGCTTGGAACCCCCTAATACTCGGTAGTAGAGCAGCTCGAATAATGATAAGCTAATATCATAAATAGAACTGATACAATATTGTAGATCTACGAAATTTCACCGAATTTCTAGCTGCTACTATTGCTTACTTCAATGCACTGCGATTGCAGCCTGGGCTCCGCCTCAAAGTCGATCCATAAAATAACAAATTTAACGCTTAATGATATTTTGATGAATCAGCAGAAATGGAGACGAAATCGAAACGATTGATCTCAGCACGAATCGAACCTTTGGAGTACTAATTCCCGATAGGCGGCTGAAACAAAGATTGGCCAAACATTCAGATTAAAGAGAGCATGCAAAACATTTCCAGATAATTGAACTAGCTTTGATAAAAAACGTACACCCACGCCAAAATCATAGTACATATTATGCTACAGTAAAACCTAATAATATCCCACCTTCTACAGGCAATGGCGTTAGCTTTCTGAAGCACGAAGTCAGATGGGTGTTCAACTATATCAAGACCCAGGCGGCCATAACTCCCGATCCTTGCGACGGGGATCACGGATGCATAGAGAGCGCGAGTGATGAAAAGGCCTATTGGGCCAATGTCTTTGTGAACGAAACTCTGCCGGTGGTAAGTTAAGAACCCCTGGTAACAAACTCTATGGATCAGCAGCAAGATCATGTGGTGTTCTGTAAACAATATTTCTCTCTGTGTTCCAGATGAAAGGCAGCATGCTGTGGGAATCCAAGGATGCGAACGATCAGAACCTAATCTGTTTCCAGGTTCCCGTTGTAATCACAGTGTAAATGTGTAATCACGAAAATAAAGTAATTGGTGCATGCAAATCAACAGACCAGTGTGCTTGTGTGCGAGTGTGTGTGTGGGGGAGTGCGTGCGTGTGTGCATCCTTTAATGAAATTTTGAATGAAAACAAGGGGGCGCGGCATCGTAGTAGCAGAAGGCGAGAGCGAGCGAGACAGGAGGTGGAGATCTCTGTTTTGGCACCGCACACACACTGACCGCAAGACGGGGAGCGGGAGCAAGTGGAGCACCGCACAGTGGGACAAATCGCCGATATGCCATTGAAAACTGAATTATTGCTGCGAAGATGGTAACAGTCGAAAAAAATATTATGTTTACTTGTATTTAATGCTATTTCAATAATACTTCAAATATATATGATTTATAACTTCAAATAGCTAGGTAACGAGTCGTGACAAAACATACCTGGTGAGTATTTGTAATATTAGCAAATGAATATTATATCCGGAACACCCCCACCTGGCCCACTGTGGCGAGAGAGCGGCGGCAGAACGGAGAACGGGAGCATGGAGCTCGAGCCCTGCAGTCCGAGTCCGAGTCCGTGGCGTTCAGTGTGTCACTCTCTCTTGGGGGCTGCAGCGCAACGGTCGCACGAAAAGAGCTCCCACTTGAGATTTAGATTCAGATTCAGATACTGATTCGGATTCAGATTCAGATTCGGTTGCGGTTGTGGTACCTAAGATCGGGCTGCAAGTCAACAGTTGCCAGGAGCGGAAACCGGAACAGTGCGGCGAATTAAACATTAAAGTGGCAGCAAGCGATCAAAGCAGGCGCTCCGACTCCGACTGCGTGGGAGTACGAGATCACGGATCGCGGCGAGGAGCCAGTGCATCCGAAAGTGTTTCCATTACCGTGAGTACCTTAAAAATGTTTCGCACTACCCGCCATTTGCGCAATTCCGTCGGCGTAAATGAGATTGTCTTCGCGCTAATTGCGGACGAGTAAGGATGGTGGTGGCGATATAGGGGCATCCAAAGGGGATGGACGGGCTCGGATCCCATCGTATGGTGCACGGCTGACATGCGGCAACATCACTTCTCACGCCCCAAAAGCTCTCTTTGCCGGACACTTGGGGTACCGGCGTTCTTTCGCCCATAGAACACTGAGAAAATAAATTGCCTTAGGATTTGGAAAACATACATTTTCCCCATATTAAATTATAAATTAAATTCGATATCTTTACGAATTCGGGTCACAGTACCTTATATAACTTTCTTTCGAAGATTTGAGAACCTATTTGAGTTTGGGAACGGGATTCCACTAGAAGAGCTTTTAAAGTGCTCCATAATCGGAAGTACGAGTATGAATGCACACACGACATATCATATCGCTGAACCTTGAGCACGGCTTCGGGTTCAGAACCTGACGTAGAACTCGACACCGCCATGGACACAGATCCTACTCGGATTCGCTCCGCTTGAGCTTGAGCTTGAGCACATGCCCAGCTGGGTGCTTGAACCCCATAAATGGGCTTCCATTGGGGTCGCTTGGATTTCCTCGCGGGCTTAAGTGTCACCATGCGATCCGGAGACACCGCACTTGACAACAATGGGAAAGCTGGCAAGTTTCGAGCCAGAGAAGTGCTAGATCACGTGAAATTGGTATTGGAACTACCTATTAAGGAATCCAGACCTCCGGCTTAAGACCTTGAATTTGTAAAATACTTCTGTTGTTGTGTTGTTTTGAGCACTTCTTGTTGATCAAGTGTTTGGGCTATAAATTTGCATGCATCGAGAACGTTGCCTTCTGACGCATACTAAAATGGAATCATACTTTTATGCATGATATTTGAGAAGCGAACCTCACGGTTTCTTAAAATGCACAGCAGTAAACACTCGCCTGATATTTACATTATGGATAACTATGATTCAGCAATGATCGTGGCTAATGTGTAGCCCCTCCGCCCAGCCAGACCATCGAACTTCCCGGTTTGATCTCGCCGTTCTGGCCTTTTCCCCAAAAATTGGCGATTGCTCCCGTTCCCCGTTCCCCGCTGGTATTTTGTTACGTGCCCCCTGTGGACGTTAAAGTTTTTCGATTTGTTTTTACCACCAATGCACTTTGACAGCGGCGGAGGCAACAATGCGATGAGCTGTTGGTCAAAGTGTTAAACGATTTGCATCATATTACACCCAGTTGCTGCTGCTGCTGCTGCCCCGAGTTTACTGGCCATTGTCGCCGGATTGCCATTGTAGTAAGCCCCAAATGGAGGAGCAAGGTGGGGCCTGGTGGGGGTGGGGGTGGGGATGGGAACGGAGCCGCTGCAAGTGGAGGCAAAACAAAAGCAACACTCCAGCCAGAGCAGCAACCACCAGCGATTTATCACAGCAACGACGTCAACGAAATCGATCCGGATCTTAGTGCCCCCCATCATCCTCATCCACATTGCCAGCCGCTGGCCTCCCTAGCAACGCCCCTGTGTGTACACTCGCAGAAAATATGGGTCGAACGTGACCTTAAACTTGGCTATGGCAATTACCTCCTTCTTCCTTTCTTTCGTCCAATACTTTGCAGTGTTTTTCCATCACATATTTGGTCCAACCTATAACATTTAGAGGCTGAGCGATTTGAGTGTTCTAACATTTATTACATTTTTCCCAAGTGCATTGTGTGTGTGCTGTTGTTTGCTGGCCAAGTGCCTTTTCGCCTTGGTGTGCGTGAAGCATAAAAAGTAATTTTGAATTTTTGAATCGTTAAAAGCAATTAATCGCCTCTACGCAACGGCAGCCAGCCTGGCTGCGACTCGACTGTCTCATCAGCGTCAGCCGCAGAACCCATTCATCTGGAAGAGTCGTGGCCGCGATCCTCATTCCCATACCCCACATCCCATACCCCATACCCCATATACCATGTAGCATATAGCATATAGCATGCCCATAGCAACCCCAACCCAATCCCCGCATTGCCGACGCTTTACTGCCCAATTTTGTTGCAAATTTTTCGTTCCGCGGAACTTGGTGCATTTCATCTCGTCTGCTCTTGGCGATCGTCGTCGCCGCAGTCGCCGCAGTCGCCGCTTCATCTTCTTGCGTCGATCGTCGCGCACATTCATTTGTCGCTTAATGTCCCTCAGTTAGGCTGCCCCGGGCCCCGCTGCCCGCAGCCATTCCGAGCTCCTTGGCCCCCAGTCCATCGCATCCCAGTCGGAGTGGCAGTCGCGGTCCGCACAGCCGCGGTCAGCACAAAAGCATTTCAGCTCAGATAGTTTCACTGAACTTATTACAGCTAATAACGTAACTGTGCATAACTAACAATCCTTACCTATATTATTCCTGTAATATCATTAGCTAAATTTGTTGCATACTTTTCGGCACAACTGATCCTAAGTGTGTAGTAATCACTCCGATCCGTATGAAACCCAAATTGTGGTTAGAAAGTAGCATCAAAATTATCCATCAAAATAAATTACGCATACGTAGTGTTGCCTCTGAGTTTGGCTTGCTTTGGCAGTATTTGGGTTGTTAGTAATTAGTGTTTCCAGAATTGATTCTAATTATTATCCATCCGTAATGCCCACATGGCATATATTTGTGCGCCCAACTGTGCTGGAGCAAGCCATCTCCTGGCTAACCCACCGCCACCAGCCGCCGAATCGCTGCACCACTTCTCCACTCAACTGCTCCTGCTCCCAGAGTGTCTGTATCGCCTTGGTATGTGCGGCATCTGCTGGCTAGGCTTCTGATCTGATGAGGCTGCTGCTGGCGGAGCCCCTGCCCCTGTGAGTGTGGATGCGGCTATGGATGTGGCTGTACCTGTGGATGTGGTGACATCCACTTGCAGCTCTCGCACATTCGTCGTAGTCGTATTTTCTCGATTTTGTTCTCGCTGCCTGCACATTCACACGCAGTCGAACGGCAACAAAAACCCAAACAACAACATAAACCGACTACCATCGACCATACCATAAAACATTAGTTTCCCATTTGCGTGCTAAATACCCTACATGGAATCGATGCGAGCACATCGACACTTATGGCCAGCAGGTGAAGAATTTCGAGAGTCTGCTTGGGGCTTCCGAGAATTGGCGATGCGAAATTAAGACGAAAAGAGCTGTTCGGGGTTTGGAGAGGTGCAAAGATATTCGCACGAGGAAAAAGTTCCATTAGGAAGTCCACACGGGCTGTGATTCTGAATGTACAGTGAGAGAAATACCAGAGTTCCTTGTGAGTTCCTGGTCAACTCAGAACTGACCAGTGAAGTGCAGGGCATCACGGAGTCATCTCGAAATGAAGATAGCCGGCCTCGTCTGGCTGTCTGGCTGTCTGTCCGATGCTCTCGTGGCACGCACTATGATGCGCGCTTTGAAGTCCTGTCAAGCACTTGAGATACATTTATGTGTTTTTTGCATTTTCATTGCCTCGACTTCGGGGTCGGGCGGCTCAAATGCGAGGAATGATTAGTTAGTTGGTCATGCAAAATGGGTGAAACCGGTTCGGTTCGCTCCCCAACGATATCGCGGGGATGCAGGCGGAGCGGGTGATCCTTCAGCATAATCAGCGGGCTGGTGCTGCCGCTGCTGATGCTGCTGATGATCGGCACAAATTACGAACGCACGGAATGTCCAGAAACCGAGAGCTGATCACCTGACGCATGATCATTTGCAGATTGCAATCGCTTCAGATGGGCAGCATGCAAGTGGCGCTGCTGGCGCTCCTTCTTCTCGGCCAGCTATACTCAAGCGCCGTGGCCAATGGATCCTCCTCCTACACCTCCACCTCCACCTCCACATCCGCATCGAATCAGCTGCAGCGACAGAAGCTGGCGCACTGGTTCCGGGATAGTAACGATGTCAAGGATAAGATTCTGGAGCTGCAGTGCCTGGCCAAGTGTGGCAGTAATCCCACAACCAGAGCTGGACGCGAACAGTGCCTGAACAAGTGCATCCAGGAGCTTTTGCTGGGACCCAGGGCGGGCAGTTGCCCCAAAATTGGAAGGCAATCGCGTGCCAGGCTCTCCTGCCTGGACAACTGTCAGTACGATCATGAATGCCCCGAGGTGCAGAAGTGTTGTCCCTCCAGTTGCGGTCCCATGTGCGTTGAACCTCTTGGCGTTAGGAACAACACGCAGCTCCCGCCCATACCGAAGATCCTGTACTTCAGGAGGTCACGTGGTCACGCTGTCGATCTGAAGATCGAGTCCTCGCTACTGGTCTACTACTTCCACGTGGAGGTGCGGTCCCACATAGGAAGGCATTTCGCTGCCAGAAAACTGGGGCCTTGGCAATGGCAGAAGGTGGAGAAGACCATGGAGGAGAACATCGGACACAGCAAGCAGTAGGTAGACCCTAAATATTTATTTTACAATGGCATAATACCTCCATTCCCTACAGCACGTACATATTCTTTCATATGCGACCTGGTCGCTGGTATGAGGTTCGAGTGGCAGCCGTGAACGCCTACGGGTTCCGAGGATATTCCGAGCCCAGCGATCCCTTTCCCTCGACGGGCAGTAAGTGTATTAGATCACTTGCTGGTCTTCCAACCAACCTTCACCTAAAGTGCTATTCACCCTCCAGACCCAAAGCCTCCAAAGAAGCCGAACGATTCGAAGATCATCGCCAAGCAGTTCGATGGGCGCTACATGACCCTTAAGCTGGTGTGGTGCCCCTCCAAGTCCAATCTGCCTGTCGAGAAGTACAAGATCACCTGGTCCTTGTACGTAAACAGCGCCAAGGCCTCGATGATCACCAACAGCTCCTACGTGAAGGATGTAAGTGGAACCCGAAGTGAGCAATATCAATATGAGCCTTATCAATCAGCACGTTACGATGATTTCAGACCCACCAATACGAGATCAAGGAACTGCTGCCCAACTCCTCGTACTACATCCAGGTGCAGGCCATCTCCTATCTGGGTTCGCGTCGCCTCAAGTCCGACCAGCTATCGATGCTGTTCAACACGACGCTGCAGCCGCTGGAGCCAATCACACCGCTCCAGTGTTCCGGGAATGGCAATAGGCGCCGGCATCATCACATTAGCAGCTCCATAAGCTCGGAATGGGCCACAACCTCGGAGCCAGTTGACCTCAATGAAGTTTCGCCCACCATTACAAACCGGACTGCGGCCGCCGCCACGTATGAAGTGGGTTTCCGGTTGAACCGGAAGTTTGGCATGATTGTGCAGATTCTGGGCTTCCAGCCACACAAGGAGAAGTAATTATTTGTAAACAAGTTGCCAAAATGCATACATATCATGCCATCACACCGATTGCAGGGTCTATGAACTGTGTCCCCAGGAGACGAACTGCGAGCAGCGAGAGTTCCGCGCGATTCGCGCCAAAGTAAGTAATACCCTTGATGATGCTTTGATGGGAGCCACGAGCCACATGTCGGAATACTTCGTGCCGATTGGCCGGACCACCGGGCAAGGGCAAATTAGTGGAACATCGTTGACCATGGGGTATTGTTTAACAAGGCGCAATCGTGTTGCCTCCATTTGACACGGAAAACACGTCTTCCCAATGGGCAGTACGTGGCCAAATGCCAATCAAAATAATTACAATACTGATGAATAGAATCGGACCATGCCATAGGTGTATGCCGAACTATAAAGATCAAACAAACGAATATGGCTCTTTGTGAACTACATTACCTTCTATTCGATTGCAGAAGGACCCGCTCGAGTTCAGCAAGCTCAAGTACAACACCACATATGTGCTGAGGATTCCCCGATCCAGTCCCAATGCTGTGCTGGACGACTCTAGAAACGTCTTTACCTTCACCACGCCTAAATGCGAAAATTTCCGCAAGAGATTTCCCAAGCTGCAGATCAAGTGCAGCGATTAGCCTTCTGTGTACGGGCTCAACGCACTGCTGACCATGAGATTACATTAGAATGTATATAATTGTATGTAAAACTTAACTTTTACTTATTATTAGGCCTAAGAACAAGCAACAACAAGCTAAACACCGATCGTTTTCTAAGTGAAAAGGTCCTTGAACTGCTGCAGATCCTGCTTATGACTGGGTTTCTGACTAATAGCGCCCAAAAGCTTGCAGTCTTCCAAGCGAACGCCATGCTCCAAAAGAGCAGCTATCAGTCGCGAGGTGTAGAGCACTGGTCCGCCTACCAAGTGCAGGAAATCATAGTGCTTCTCACGTCGCGTGCTGAACAGGATTCGCTTGGAGACAAAGTCGCCGTAATTGCTGATCCGTCCCACACACACGTAGCGCTGCAGTGAGGGCGCGTATACTTCGATGACTGCCCGGATACTCTCCGCCGGAGTTAGAGCTGCTGCTGTTGCATAAGAAATCCGAAATGGTATGTCCAGAGCTTTGTAAAAATCAGTAGCCAGATTGAGAATATGCTCTAGTTGGGAGTCCGCTTCGCTGGCCGTTTGCGTGGCCACAAAGCTTTGTACCGCATTCGTTTGTGTCGCCGTATAAAGACTGGGAATTGGCCCATACAACTGCGCTTCCGCCCTGTTGTAACTCCGACCACAGCAGACATACCGTAGGGGCAGCACCGAGGGATACACGCACAGCTTGGTCATGGCACCTAGGTAGCTCTCGAAGGACGCACCTCCGGTTAAATAGGCTGTATTGATCTTGTTTTGCAGGTGTTCTTCCAAAACCAGATGATAGTCTGACAAGGGTGTTGCATTTGCCTCCAGGAGAACGCAACGCACAAAGTCCGGATTGGCGGTTTGAATGAAATCCCCGTGGGTGACGAAATAACGGGCCAGAGATTGCATGGCATTTACGTCGAAATGAGCAGCCTGCTCCATCAAGTAGTAACGATTGTTGTCCACAAAGTGTATAAGTTCCTGGCGTTCCAAGTGGGATGGAGTCTTATTTTCTGAACTAGGCATGCCATGGCGATAGAGAAGCTTTTCCTCCCCTCCAACAGGGCACTGGACATGCAGAAGGTTGGGCAGGTGCAGATAGTCATGTATAAAGTCATCCTCTATGGGATAGAGTGCCTGCTTCAGAGTCTTTAAGTCGTTGCGCAACGATTTTCCACGCTCTTTCAACTCCTCCAGGTGATCCGCATTACCACCAGATTTGGTTAGCTCCTTCAGGCGCTTGGTCACCGTTTCGCGTTCCTCCGCCAATTTGGACAGCTGACCGTGATGTGCTTTATACTGTTCGTACTTCCTGAGCACTTTTTCCAAACTGATGTCCAATCCCCGGCTGGAGATGCTCTGGTCCAAAGATTGCCGGTCGCTAAAGGTTCCCTTGAAGTTCATATACGGCTGCAGAGTCACATAGTTTTCGTTCGCTTTGTCGCCGGTTATGTACAGGGCGGAGATATTTCTGCTGCACGTTTTCTTGGCCGAAAGGCACTTTTTTAATATCTTTCGTAAACTCAACATAATTCTTATGGCGAATTGTAAAAACAAAATAAGCCGGTAAGGCAGTCAGCTGTGGCCAGCGTTGCCAGATCCGGTCGAAATAATAGTGGTATTTCCATGCCTTTTAGGCTTTTTGATGTATTTTTGTGAAGAAAAATGTGATTTCCCCTTTAATTTAAACTGAATCGTCATTCAGTTATCTTATAAGGAGATAAGCTGTTTAATCTATTTGTGTAAGCAATTTGAACACATATTTAACATATCATTTCTTTATTCCTCAACATTATTATAATAAATAAATATATTTTAAATAAATTACATAAATCAAGTTAGTTTGGTTGGAAATTCTGAATCTCATTGGAAATAAGTTCCTTCCAGAAGTTTACAGGCAGTACTAGGTTCTCAAAGTTCTGATCATAGACTGGTGCAATGTCTTCGTCATGATGGTGTGGCTCAATAAGATCCCGAAGGTATGGATGGCGCATTGCATCCGCAGCTGTAATACGTCTTTCGGGTACCATTTCAAGCATTTTCTCCATCAAATCCACGGCCTGGATATCGGCACCCAGAAACAAGTGGTGAAAATCACATCTTTGCCGTAACGGGTACCTCTCCACGTAATTACGCGAATATTGCGAGTCTATTCCACTGACAAACTCCCTAGTCGGAGTGCCCATTACGTCAAGCAGGCGCCTTAGTTGGTCGAAGTAGTCTTGACCGGGGAACAGGACCCGTCCCGAAATAAGTTCTGCCAGAATACAACCAACAGCCCACATGTCGATGGCCTTTGTGTACTGACCCCTGAGGAAGAGTTGTTCCGGAGCTCGATACCACATGGTTCCCACAAAGTCCGTCATATTATCCGCGCACAGACGGGATAGACCAAAGTCAAGTATGCGAACCTCATTATTTCCATTAACTGCGATGTTGCAGGGCTTCAAGTCACGATGAACAACCCCGGCGCTGTGTATGTACTTCAGACCCCGCAGTATTTGGTAAATGATTGGTCTAATCTCGTGCTCGCTCATTCTTTGTGAACGCGAGTACCTGTGCAGATCTTCGTCCATCAGGTGAGTCACCAAATAAATCTGCACAAACGCCATTATCCGCGCCGGTGGATGGAAGACGTTCAGCAGGCTGATGACGTTTGGGTGGTTCATGTGCTTCAGAAGGCGGATTTCGCGATAGGCACTCTTAGCATCCTCCTCCCTCTCGAACGGACGCAAAAGCTTTTTCATAGCGACGTGTTTTTCGGTGCCTTTTACTCTCATCTTAGCCACCTGACCAAATGAACCGCCACCCAGGAAACTAACAAACTCGTAGGTGTCCAGGAACTCCCAAACGCCTTCGCCAATTTGCATTCTCACAAATCTGGGGAGTGCCATTCTGGATAATATGTGCAAAAATAAATCTTTAACAGTCGACAATAGAAAGATTACTGAACTGGCGTTTAGTTATTTGCTTTCGAACACTCAGCATTTTCTAATCTTATCAGTCACACTCGATACACAGAAAAGTAATCGACTTTTCGACTAATCGTCTTTTGTTCAGCTGCCAGTCGAAGCCAGCGAAACTTTTCTCTTTTATATGATCTGAAAAAACATTACATTTTAAAAAAAGTAGGTATTTTTATAAAACAAATTGATTGTAAAATACACAGTATTATTGACAAGCCATAACAAATTGGTAAGACATTGTACAAAACAAAATTAAAAGTTAACACTAAGAATTGATCAATATGAGTACAAAATACGTGGTTTCAACATGATTTTCTGTAAATTATAACGAATAAATTGGCGTATTTAATACTTTAAATTCTTGATGGGATCCGTTTACTTTACATCCCCTAGAACCTGAGCAAACGATGGTGGAGGCTTAAAGTTGGTAACCTCTTTGTAGATCAGCTCCTTCCACTTGTCCACGGGCAAATCCATATCCTCAAAGCTGTGATCGTATGGTGGTGAGGTCAGCTCGACGCTGGGCTCCGCATACTTCTCCAGATAGGGATGTGCAAGAGCCTCCTCGGCTGTGATACGCTTCTCGGCATCCAGCTCCAACATTTTCTCCAGCAAATCGATGGCCAGCGGATTGGCGTTCTTAAAAACATTTTTAAAACTGCGTCCCTTCATGGGCGGAAGGGACTGGATGTAGGAACGCGCACTTTCCGATGAGATCTTCTTTAAAAATTCGGCGGGTGGCGTGCCCAACATCTCCATAATTAGGTTCAATTGGTGGATATGATCGGTGCCTGGGAAGAGGGTGCGTCGGGTAATTAATTCGGCCATGATGCACCCCACCGACCAGATGTCCACCGTCTGGTCGTAGTGCATCCAATTGAGCATTATTTCAGGGGCGCGATACCAACGCGTGGCCACATAGCCTGTCATTTCATTCTCCGTTGGACGTGCCAGCCCGAAGTCTAAAATGCGCAGCTCGCAATCCTCGTTGACGGCAATGTTTGAGGGTTTAAGATCACGGTGGATCACTCCCGCGCTGTGGATATACTTCAAGCCACGGAGTATCTGGTAGACCAAAAACTGGACGTGGTCGTCGGACAAGTGCTGCATCCGTATGATGTTATTCAGATCTGCATCCATCAAGTGGGTAACCAAGTACACCTGGTGGAAGTTCTCCAGCGATGCATTAGCGGCATGCGGATGGAATATGTCCAGCAGACCGATTACGTTCTCATGGTCCATATGCTTTAAAAGTCGGAGCTCACGGTACGTCCTCTTTGCATGGACAGCGGATTGAAAGGGCCTGGCAAGCTTTTTAATGGCCACATGGATATTGGTGCCACGGACAAGAGCCTTCGACACCTGACCATAAGCTCCCGATCCTACGGGCTGCAGATCCTGATATATATCCGGGATCTCCCATTCCGTTCGGTTTATATCCAACTTGTGGAACTTTTTTGTTATAGACGCAGACATAGTTTTGCTTAAGGAAGGGCGTCGTCACCCTGAGTTTATAGTGCCTATGAACGAGATATGTATTGACCATTAAAATGCCGTGCGAACGATAATTTCATTCTGATTACGTTTATCTTGAGGCAGCTCGGCGGCAGTAGTACGTACCTCTGTTCCACGCCCAAGAATATCAACAACTAAGTACTGGTCCCTAGCATGTTTCCTATATTTGCGCTATTACTCCATTCCCGTGCGTGTCGTGTTAGGAATCCATGAATCAGATCGGCAGTGCACAGATCAGAAGCGACACACAAATGCGCTACATTTGATTAGTGTTAAGTTGTTGAAGAACTCTCTGATCGCGCTCTTAAAATTCTTACCTTAAACTCTATATGTAAGTTAATATATATACATACATATATATGTACATTAATATTAGCAATGTTATGACATTGTAACACGGCTGTTACAACTTCACTTCTTCTTGATAGCTTTATGAGTGAATAAGGGCAATAGGAAACTCTCTTTTTTAGTATTTGATATCATTTAATACATCATAAAACTTAGACTAATTTGTAATACAAGTAAAAGTTTCGAAACAAATATGCCGCAAAATCCAGTGTGTACCGCGCGTAAATAAAAAAAAACATGGCGTTGCCAGACCGTCAACTGAAAGTTCGATAAGCATTTATCGAATGCATATTTACAACAGCTGTCTCTTGTTTTTCCAGCGAATTCATACCGCACCATCCCCTGACTAATTTTCCGTTGCACTTTTCGTGTACTTTGAATGAAAAAAAAACCGAAGCCACTACTCGCGCCTGCGCAGTTGCACTGCCGGGGTTATCAAATAAACTAATCTAATCGTTCCGTAAACGCAGCCTGACATTCCGCCCTACCATTCTCCGGTGAACAGTTAGTTAGTTTCGCACGAAAGCCGCTCCCGCTCGCATCGTAACCTAGAAAACATTAGCGTATGTATAGAAGTAAATTGTCGAGATAATCTGAATGATACTGAACATATTAGCGGTATAAAACATAAACATTACAAGGATTAATTAGTGTGCGCTTGGAAATCAAAATGTTAGACCGCAGGGGAGCTGGAAGAAGTCACTTCATCCGCTATGAACTGCGACCTTTGGAACCTGGACTGGCAAACATGCAGATTTTCTATAATCCACTATCTGAGATAGCGGAAACATTCGACACAAGTAAAAGATCTGCGAACCGAATGCGATTAGATAGTCCGACGGGTTCAAAGTATGGTTTAAAGGGTTGCTTAACTTCAACCCCTGTACCGTTTTTCTTTTACCATTTTTGAGGAAAACTACACACACCCCGAGGTCTATGTATACATATTAGAATAGTTTTTGAATAAGTTATCTCCCATAATAGCTTGTTATACGATGTAAAACCTTAACTATAAAGCTTATATTTCTTTGCAGACACAATATGACTTCAAAGCTACTGCCCGGAAACATTGTGTACGGAGGTCCTTTGACTGAACGGGAGGCCCAGGACTGCAGATCCCTGGGTCAGTACATTCTCGACAAGTACAAGAGCTTCGGCGACCAGACGGTGCTGGTGGATGCTGTCAATGGGGTGGAATACACTGCCAGTTTCATGCACAAGTCCATTGTCCGGCTGGCATGCATCCTTCAGAAACTGGGAGTCAAACAAAATGACGTCGTCGGTTTGTCTAGCGAGAACAGCGTTAACTTCGCCCTGGCCATGTTCGCCGGTCTAGCAGTTGGAGCTACGGTTGCTCCCCTTAACGTAACTTATTCCGAACGCGAAGTGGACCACGCGATTAACCTGTCCAAGCCCAAGATCATATTCGCCTCTAAGATCACCGTTGATCGCGTTGCTAAGGTGGCCAGCAAGAATAAGTTCGTCAAGGGCATCATTGCGCTCAGCGGAACTTCCAAGAACTTTAAGAACATCTATGATCTTAATGAGTTGATGGACAGCGACAAGTTCAAGACACAGCCTAACTTCACGAGCCCTGCGGCTAGTAAGGACGAGGACGTGTGCCTTATTGTGTGCTCTTCTGGAACTACCGGACTACCTAAAGGAGTGCAGCTGACCCAAATGAACCTTCTAGCCACTCTCGACTCTCAAATGTAAGTTTAATGGTATGTTATTAAAGCATTTTTTAAAGTGATTTTTTTTAATAGCCAGCCCACCCTCATTCCCATGTCGGAGATCACTCTGCTCACTGTCATTCCCTGGTTCCACGCCTTCGGCTGCCTGACGCTTATCACCACCGCCTGCCGTGGCGCACGATTGGTGTACCTGCCGAAGTTCGAGGAAAACCTCTTCCTTTCTGCGATCGAAAAGTATCGCGTGATGATGGCCTTCATGGTGCCTCCACTGATGGTCTTTTTGGCTAAACACCCTATTGTGGATAAGTACGATTTGTCCTCTTTGATGGTTCTGCTGTGTGGAGCAGCCCCACTGAGTCGTGAAACTGAGGATCAGATCAAGGAGCGTATTGGAGTGCCATTCATCCGACAAGGATACGGCCTCAGCGAATCAACGCTGAGTGTACTCGTGCAGACCGATGAGTTCTGCAAGCCAGGCAGTGTGGGTGTTCTTAAGGTGGGAATCTATGCCAAGGTGATTGATCCCGACACCGGCAAGCTATTGGGACCCAACGAGCGGGGCGAGCTCTGCTTTAAGGGCGACGGCATCATGAAGGGCTACATCGGAGACACGAAGTCCACGCAGACCGCCATCAAGGACGGTTGGTTGCATACTGGTGATATTGGCTACTATGATGATGATTTTGAGTTCTTCATCGTTGACCGCATCAAGGAGCTGATCAAATACAAGGGATTCCAGGTGCCGCCCGCAGAGATTGAGGCTCTGCTTCTAACCAACGACAAGATTAAGGATGCGGCGGTCATTGGAAAGCCAGACGAAGCGGCTGGCGAGCTGCCGCTGGCCTTTGTGGTTAAACAGGCTAACGTTCAACTAACCGAGAACGAAGTTATTCAGTTTGTCAACGACAACGCCTCGCCTGCCAAGCGCCTGAGGGGTGGCGTGATCTTTGTTGACGAAATTCCAAAGAACCCCAGTGGCAAGATTCTGCGTCGTATTCTGAGGGATATGCTTAAGAAGCAAAAATCCAAGTTGTAAGAGGGGTTCTCCCCTTACGGGTGTGTGTACAAACAATTTACTATGTGTATGTTTTATTATTGCTAAACTTTGTTTTATAAACTACCAACTGGTTGGGTTTCGATTTACTCATATTTGGCTTTTCTTTCGAAGTATTCGCTTAAAACTTAAATACAAATAAAAACTGATGGAGTTCCATGTCGCAGATACCATGTGACATCGCTGGGGCAACTAAACTCCAGCTTTAATTACGTAGATGCCCGAACTATCAATAACAAGTTATATATAAACAACTACATACATTCGTTCTCAACTTGTAACAAACATGTTTTCTGTATTTTCCCATATTGTTGTCGCTTTTATATAGACTCATTATTAATTTCGTATGGTGTATACATATATTTATATATTTATTTGAAATATTTAACTACTCGTCTGCTCTGCTTTGTAAATAGTTGTTTAACATGTTTTGTTTTGCTTGGGAAAAGTTTCTATCTTGTTTTGTTGCAGCAAATTGCATATATTGGGTTCATTTGTGTTTCCAGTATATAAAGAGGTTTATATGTCTGTCCTAGCATTAGTTTACTAATTATTGTGTATGAAACCTTAAAAGTAAGAGAAATGCCTTGGTTTCTATAACGGAAATATCATAGTTTGTGTAAAATCCTAAACACTGCTTGACCAGCACCCGCGCACACTCCAAATCCTCCTCCAATCTTGGCGAGCTGCGCTGCTACCAGTGCTTATTTGCAGTACATACTTATTGTTGCAATGCTAATCGACTTGGTGCACGACTTACACTTTAAACTAGGTTGACAAATTAGATGAATAAATTCAGTTGTTCACTTCGTTAGTTTCCTTTCCTTTAACTCTACATAGTTAAATAAAAGGGTGCATTTTAAAATTAGCTCGCTCTTTTTTTACTCCTTGGTACAATTCTAGTTTCCTGCTTTTGGCACAATCCTGACAACAAATTGGTTACTCTGATTGTCACTTGTGAACGAAACTAAATTATAAGTGTGAGTGTATGAATATATTGCTAAAATTGTATTTTGATCCCTGGGACCATATAAAAGTCGACTGACCCCGGCCACCGCCAAATGCAATGGTAATTGCAATTGCACGATGACTGGCGACAATTTTGGATACGGACCGCCGAACTCGAGTTCTGTCTAAGGCGAAGAAGATGATAGCAGCAGACTCGATGAGCTGCCACGATCAGATTTCGATTCTGTCGTGGATCACACAATTATCTCCATGCGGTTCGCCTTGCGGGTGACCTTGGGTGGGCCTTGTGCTAAGTCCGACATGCCGCCGTATTTGAACGAGAAGATGACAGTCTGCTGGCCGAAATTCGCTTCAAATCTGTAAGGATAAAAATAAGTATTGGTTGCCATGTACATTGGTGCAATTCCTTAATCGTCCCCGGATCTAGAACTGCCTAGCTCCATATCCAGAGAATTTATTGTTAGCCCTTACTCAGTGCTTATGTGTATCTCCGGGGGTTTGCCCGTGGCATTTTGTATGACCAGAAACATTTTGGTCACTATTTCAATCACATGACCTGTTTGAAAAACGAAATCACCCTTCTTCCGTCCAAATTCAGACTGCGAAACGAATAATTAATAATTTTAAGATTTCAATAAGGAATTTCACAGTATATATACCGCTTTTACGTGAAACACAGCAATGTCATCTAGGTAGGGGCTCAGAGACATTCGGTAAATCTCCGATGCAGGCACTCTGTACTTGATTTGCAGCGTTCGTTGGTCTAACAGCAGAAGCGATGAAGTGGACAGCACCAGCAAAATGGGCACAAACTAAAACAAAACAAATTTCAACATAAGCATAACATAACATAACATAAGCAATTGAATATATTAGCTTACCTTGCCACTGGAGCGCGCTATCTTGTTGATTATGTCTGCGAATACAACATACTGATCGTTGGTCTCGGCGCAAATCTTTTTCCACTGCTGGTTGTGTCGCAGTCGCACATAGTCCCCGACGAAAGGATGGCCCACACTGTAAACGAATTATTTATTAAATATTATTTTGAAGAATACAAAATAAAGAGCTGTTACCTTCGTCCATAGGAAGCTTTCCGATCCTTAAAGATAATGCTGGCCGTGACCTTCTCTCGCATTCGATTGCGTGCTGTTTGATCAAAGGAGTTTCGGTAGATGTAGCACTTCCAACGATGGTAAATGGACCTTAGATGACGGGAGGCATCTGCGAGGAATACGGGCGCCACTGGCCATTCGGTAGAAAGCGGACTTAGCGTGTTGGGTGGCAATCGCAAGGGAATAGTCAGAAGGAACTGCCTGATCTTCCACTGGCGGTAGTAGCGACCTATAATATCGATGGCCCATCTCACCTGTCGTTTGTACTTCAAGGACCGATACTCCTCGCGGGCCTAAAGAAAATAAACAAAATATAAATGTTTTTATGGGAAAAACAAGTTTTAGATAAATTAGAAGAAATCATGCAATGCTTACGACACGATATAAACTCCACAAATGCCTACGACCAGTGAACGGAATGCCAAATCGGCATTCCTATACATGCAGAAAATGAAAGGAATGCAAAGCTTATCATGCAAATTAATAGATTTCCTACAAAACTGCTTACCCGCCACGTGCGCCAGGCACTCGAAATGATCATCTGGCTGTGTCGCATGCGCTGAAAGCGCTTTCTTGCATGGTACATTCGAAACATCTTTTGAATGAGCACGGCCAGCTCGCTAATCCGCAGGCGTCGAAACTGTTCCAACTCATATACGGTGCGGGGACTACGGACGAACACATTTTTGGTGCCGATCGTGAACTCCGCTGAGGGCAGCGGTAGGTTGCGGATTATTAGGGCGATACCCTCTACCTGACTGCCACCATGAAAGTGGGGCCAAGTCAGGCTGTTGAGCAACTTATAGCGATGAAAGAACTTAACGTGCAGCAGATGGTAGCAATGACCAGTGCGACACAGGTGGACCAGCGGCATGAGCGACATGTAGCGCACCTGATGTTGAACCAGTGCCATGTCAAACTGGTGCGGATGCTTACCCTCGTTGGGCTTGATACAGAACACATAGTGGGAGCGGCGATGCTTAACGATGGCCAGCAGCGTCTGCAATTGGGTGCGGATGTTCGAGCTCAACGTACTGGGCTTTTTGGTAACCTGCCGACGGGGATTTCCCTCGGGGAATAGGCTTTGCACTAAGGAAAGCTTGCTTTGGTAAAAGGCAGCACTTATGTATTTCGGCAGCATGTCGGAGTTCTTTTCGAGGAACCGATGTATTGAGTAGTTCACTACACTTGCATAATGACGAATCCTGAAAACAAATACATTGAGACATCATGGAGAATGAGATCACATAGGTCAAAGACATACTGAAAGCACATGGAGTTGCTGCCGCTGGTCATGAAGTTGGGATGCCCCGCGCAACACTGCTGAACTCGCAAAAGCAAAGCATCGTTGCTATTTAAATGGGGTTCATTAATCAAGCTCAGTATACCATAACTGGGTTTGTCTATTAACTCGCAAATTGACTCGTTGTCAAAATAATCAATCCGAGACCATTCCAATCCCTCGCGAATGTAGAGTTCTTGCTCCGAACGCAGCACATGAAACACAAAATTCTGAAATTAGAGAACGATTAAATTACAATATCAACAATATTGATTCAACAGAATGTGATTTTCATTAGCTTAAGTGGATGAGGCATGTGTACTTGCCTGGTGAATCTTTTCCGCGCTATAATTAATGGCAAACTGCTCAAAGGAGTTGTGGTCCAGCACTTCGAATCCATAAAAATCTAGCAATGCCAGGTTCTTCTCGCGCTGTGTTGACTTTAGGGACTCATTAATTTTGTTTACCAGCCACGTGAAAAGACGGCTGTAGAGAGTGCGACAGAGCGTGTTCCGGTTGATTGCTGCTTGTCGTGCATCCATTTCGCAACCCACATCCTCTTGAGCGCTGTTCGAGCTATTCGCTCTGGTTAAGCAGTTGATGAGAATTTGGGCTTCCATATTAAGAAGCTGTGCTGTTTCTTGAACCTCTGTAAACGGAAAAGAATGAAAATCATGTCGCTGGTGATTTACTTAGTACCTACCGTATACATTGGACACCTGACAACCCTCAGTTCCGTCTATGTTAGTAATGGGTACAAAAATAAAGTTACCCAACTTTAGAACCACTGCAATGACCCTAAAGATGGAGTTGCTTTCTTCACAACTGAGGCCCAGCACATCCAAGGATCGCTGAAAAAGAAGTGCAATACACATGTTATAAGGTTTTGTATAATAATTATCTGGGTAAAATCGAACCTTCGTATAATGAAAATTCATGCGGTCCTCCTCCATGGCAGTTGTGTTGCGGAGCAGCTCGTACTTTTCCACATTTCGATACAGCTTGAGCGATTCTAAAAGAATAACAATAAGCAGGTAGTATTTAAAAGGAGTACAGCGTCTTACTTAGCAACTGGAGATCAGCACCTAATAGTAACTGGTAAAATATGTGAAAATTTCGCTCTCCAATGATGGTGTCCGTTATACGGGTCTGTAAACAAATGAAATATTAGACTGATAATGACTAAACTAGGATAATTAAAATTCGATCAAACCTTTTCCAACATATCTTAGAAGTACGCACGAATTAAACAAATTTTGTCATAATACATATTTCTACTTTATAGGTGAAGTTTTACTTACAGTGGGTAATGTGCACTCCCATTGGATCTCCCTTAAAATCAATTTCGATATCAAATAACTTTCCCTGAAACCGCAAAACAATAAACAAATTAATTTAAATCACATACAAGTTTTTTCTTTAAATATGCACCTATCTAAAGGTTTCAATTGTTAGCACGTTCCAGTACATACATATTTCACTTACATAGCGACTAGAGTTGTTATTTTTCAGGGTGCAGGCATTGCCCATGGCCTCCAGGAACACATCCGCACAGGTGACGCACTCGCGCATTCGTTGCGTGGGCGATTTGTGACGCCTGTGCAGCGAAGAGCTGGCCGAGGGCGTGGGCGAAACGGAACTAGGCGGAGGTGGCGGTAGATCGCCCAGGACCTTGCTCAGCTTGTGTGCATCGTACAGCGATATACGTTGCGTGGACCCCATGAGGGAGCTACGATCCCGTTCCCGCTCCGGCTGACTTTCAGTCGAGTGCTGCCGCATCAAGTTGGAGCAACTGCCGCGATGCGGATGTACCGGGTTGCTGGTGGCGGTGGCAATGGTGGACAGGCGGCAGTTGCTGCCTCGCAAATCATCCCGCTCCTCCTTCTCCAGGCTCTGAGCACGGACGCACTTGCTGTGGCCGCACTGACGGCAACCGCCGTACATGGTGGGTACGGCATATTTCGGCGATCCCTTGGCGGCCGCGGGCATGGCAGTGCAGGCGCTGACTTGGGTCTGCTGGTGCTTGAAGCACGACTTGGTCGGATGCAAGTGGTGGGCGTGTGATTCGGGAAGGCCGCTGATGTTTTCGCTACTCTTGTGGTGTGAGAAATCAAAGTCCACGATTTTCTCTCGCATGTGGCGCCTGCTTTGGCGTTCGATGCTCTCTGCCCGCGTCCGTGATCGCTGCGATGGTCCTGGCGAAGGACTCTGTCTCCGTGAAACACTTGCTGACGGATTTTCCGCCCGATTTTTGCATATAATAAAATTGGCAGTGCCGGAGCAGCTGCTGGAGGCCCGCCTGTGGGCGTGCAGCACCAATCCGCTGGCCGAGCTGGTTGAGGATTGCTTCCGTAGGACATTCGGTGTGGGGGGACAGTGTGAGCGATCCTGTATATGGGTCAGAAAGTTTACAATCATTTTAAAGGTCTCCGTTTTGCCCGCTCCGCTCTCGCCGGTGAGAAGCACGCACTGATCCTCGCTCTGATCCTTAAGCGATTGATAAGCCAGATTTGTGAGTCCATAGCTGCGGTGAATAAAAGTTTTATAAGAAATGAAAATGAGTCAGACACTCTTGCAGGATAGCTTACATGTGGGGCGGCAGCTGGAAGATGCCCTTATCGCCATAGTTGCGGACATTGTCCAGAGAGTGCTCGGATATGTGATGATATGGATTCAGAGCCACAACAGACGTTCCAATGTAGGTCTATAAATCAAAAAATATGGAAACGTATAGACATGTGAAGAGTTTGTAGAACTTTAAGGACTCACATATATGTGATCGCGCTTATAGCGCTGGTGGATGTTGTTTATGAAACTATCCTCGGACAGGTTCTCGAGCAGCACCGAATCCCAGGTACCGATTTCCTGCTCCATCGCGATTCCCAGCTCCAATTACAACAACGTGCACGGCAGTAGTGACAACAACGGCAACGGCCAAAATCGAGTTCACCATTTGAATTTGAATACATCAACTGCAAACGGGGCCAACACGAGAACGGGAACGATGGGAAGGAGAAGGGGGGTTGTTAATGGCTCCAACAATTGCATAATTTATCGCGGGCCTGCATGCATCTGGGCGAATCCGTGTTTTGATTTTCTGATTCAATTATTGATTTTCATGTGCTGGCGAGCAACAGCCTCGAGCTCGTGTTCACTCAGATATTGCGGGTAGATAGAGTCTGCCTTTCTATATCCGTGGCTGCAGGACTCCCGATTGCCCCTCTACGCCTTCGTCTTTAGCGTATTATTGTCTTTATTCGCCACGATTTGCACATTTTGTTTACCTTTTCAGAAAAGACATTTTTGCATCCAGTGAGTACTAGTGGTGGCCCAGCCATCGATGACACTATCGATGTTGTCTCTTGGCCATGAATCGATTTGCATACCCTAGCAAAAGCTATTATGCTTCGCTATCCATTTGAATAGAGTAAATTTAAAATTCAATTGATACCTAATTAACTTTTTTAAGGCCTATAACTTTTTCAGACTTTAGTGTTAAAAAATAAACGCTTATTTTTTCCTAATATACTTTAATGATTTTAATATTTTTGTTTTAAGTTTACCAGGGTGTTACCGCGTCGGTGATCGAATTTCGGAATTCTTCGCGGTCATCGGCGGTTGTCCCATCCCTATTGTTCGGATAATAAACGCAAAAATGACCACAAATACGGACGAGCGAAACTTCAGATCCATCTACTACGAAAAATGCCAAATAAACAGCGTAGAGGAACAAAAGTCGCTAAACAAATTACTACAGGATGACATCCGCAACCTCAGCAAGCTCAAGCAGTTCTGCATGAACTACACGGTGCCGAACAACAATAGGAGCTATCTGTGGGCTCTGGTCATGGGTATTCTTCCGCTCCACAAAGCGTCCACGTCGTATATACGCGACCAGAGGCGCGAAATGTACGAAGATCTGCTGCGAGCTGTAACTGTGCTCCGATGTACCGATCATAAGAAGAAGGAGCAGGTCATGCACACCATGTGGCTGATGGAGTCCAATCGACTATGGCATGGCAATACTACTGCCAGTCTCCAGGCCGATGACATGCATTTTATAGAGATTGTGCGCACGTTGCTGCAAATATTCAACGACGACGTGGAAACCTACTGGATAGCAAAGGGATTTTACAAGTACACCCGTGAGCTGAAGAAGGAGTGTGTCAAGCTGAAGGAGCAGACGCAGAATATGCTGAAGCGCGAAGATCTGTCCTTGCTCAAGTGAGATTGCATATGGTTAGTCCGGTACTGCAACTGATTCCCTTCTATTACTTCTTATAGTCACCTGGAGCTTCTGGGCCTGTTTGATGCCAACTCAACGCTGGTGGATAACTGGTACATAACTTGCTTTGCTGGTATCATCTGCACAACTGATTTGGTCAAGATATGGGACAAAGTCTGTGGAGGATCCCGAAAGATTGTTGTTTTCCTGTTTGTAGAACTAGTCAAGGACATAAGGTCCTTGATACTGAAGCAAACATCTTTAGCAGACGTCAAAAGACTGATAGAAACGGTAAGCAGGTATGGAAACCCTGTCTTAAGCCATAACTTATAAAAAATTCGCCTTAGGTGAAGGATCTCGACGGTGTTATTATCGTAAACAAGGCCATAAAATCGCTGCAAAACAACAGCAGCGAAGTCGAGTACACTCACTAAGTAAATCTACACTTTTATATTGGACATGTAAATAGCAAAATCAACTAAATGTATTTGAAGACCACGTCCTTCTTATCGCCCACCGTCTGCAGTTCCAGGGTCACGGGACACTGCATCCAGTAGGAGAGCAGCTCTTCCGTGTAGCCAATAAGGAAGTACATTTTTCGCGGGGTGATCGCCTGCCGAATAAGGGCCGCAATCCTAATAGTGTTGTGCTGCCGCTTGATAATGATCTCGGAGCAGACGAGGGCGTGCCAGGTGCCAGTGACAAACTTGCGGATGAACACATCCTCTATGGCGGTCTGGGACGGACGCAGGGCATCCTTCATCGTGGCTAAAAGAGGGGTGCCATCAATATTGTTGCTTAATAAACATTTCTCACAACTTACATGTGTTCCATGAGTTCCACGATTTGCGGTGGCCAATAAAATGCGGCGGATTGGCCATCTCATAGGTAAGCGGCCTGTTTCGCTTTGTGGTTATGCGGTATCGCCCAGATTGCACGCGACAGCACACGGAGCTGGTGTGGAATCCTGACCGGCTGAGCTGCTGCACCTCGGTCGCCACCTGGGGCACCAACTATGATGGATTGGCTTACTTAAGCATGGATTCTGTTTTAGTGTTGTTATTTAACTCACCTTTTTCAAGAAGTTCATTATTTTGCGGCAGGAACAATTTTGCGTCCAGCAACAGCTGATTGACGTGACGTAACGGTTCGCTAGAGATGGACAAATGTATAGATAAGCACGATATTATTGTTTTTAAAGGTGTAATGCTATATTTTTTATATATACTTCAAATAATGTTAGGGAAAGTAGACAACAACAAAAAACACGGACAATGCAATTTTAAATTGCATAAATCCTTTTTGTTTGGTTTTAAAAATTAAGTCTTTGATCTCGATAGATTGAAAATCGATTTTTATTTTAGTCCTAACGCGGGGCAGAGTTGTCAACAGTTGCTTGGCAAATGTAGCTTGCTTCAGTGCTTAAAACAGCTGAGCTTAGCTGATTAATAACATGGTGTATTTTTAAATTATTAAAACCATATTTTAAAGCTTCTTAAATAAATATAACAATATTTGTTATGACACCTTGTTTTGAAGAACTTTGACTTTACATTGAACTTGGTCAGAACTAGCTATAAAGTAGCTGAATCGGTAGTACTCGAGCGCTGAGCCTGCGCGCTTGGAAAATGGCTTAAACGCAGGCCATCTCGAACAAAGATCGAGGATCCCAGATCGAAAGGAACTACCTGTTGAAGCGACCTTGCAACAGGATTCTTCCAGAAGCAAAGCTGTATAGGTTTATTGTCAGAAACCCTGTTATCTGAATGCACTTATAGCTGAGGATACATTCAAAGTAATGACGCTGAACGAGAGCGACGCTACTCGCCTGGAGTTGACGCGCAACTTCCTGGAGCTGTCTCGAAATCCGGAAACATGCACCGCCCTGCGCAGCTCGGACTGCATCCAGCTTCTGGTTCAGATACTGCACGCCAACGACGAAGGCCTCTCCACGGCGAGGAAGTACGCCAGCCAAGCGCTGCACAACATCGTGCACAATAATCCGGAGGAGAAGGAGCGGCAGCGGGAGGTGAAGATGCTGCGTCTGCTGGACCAGATCCTCGACTACTGTAACTTTCTGCGCACCCAGTTGCAGAGCGGCGGTGAGGCCATCGCAGATGATGAGGATCGCCATCCGCTGGCCGCTATGAAGCTCCTGATGAAAGCCAGTTTCGATGAGGAGCACCGTCAGACTATGTGCGAACTGGGAGCCCTCAAGGCGATTCCCAATTTGGTCCACCTCGATCACGCGGTCCACGGACCGGCTACCGGTAGGGAACAGTGCAACGCCCTGAGGAGCTACGGCCTCATGGCCCTCACGAATCTCACCTTCGGAGACGAGAACGTCCATAACAAATCGTATCTGTGCGGTCAGCGGCAGTTCATGGAAGTGGTCATTGCGCAATTGAACACGGCTCCGGATGAACTGCTTCAGGTGCGTTTAATCTAGGAGATTAAGAAGAAGATCGCAATTTAATTACCTTTGATTTCTTCAGGTTCTCGCTGGTGTGCTTCGCAATCTCTCCTGGCGCGCGGACAAACATATGAAGACTATCTTCAACGAGCTGGGCACTGTGACCTCCTTGGCTCGAGCAGCCATGCAAAACAAAAACGAGAACACTCTTAAGGCCATACTTTCGGCCCTCTGGAATCTCTCGGCGCACTGCAGCACCAACAAGGCGGAGTTTTGTGCAGTAGACGGAGCACTGTCCTTTTTGGTGGGAATGCTTAGCTACGAGGGTCCGAGCAAAACTCTTAAGATCATCGAAAATGCCGGCGGCATTCTTCGAAATGTCTCGAGCCACATTGCGGTGTGTGAGCCGTACCGGCAAATCCTAAGACGGTTCAATTGCCTTGCCATTCTGCTGCAACAGTTGAAGTCGGAGAGCCTTACCGTGGTGAGCAACTCCTGCGGAACTCTGTGGAATCTCTCGGCGCGCTGTCCCGAGGACCAGCAATACCTCATTGACCACAATGCCATCCCGCTCTTGCGGGCCTTAATCAGCTCCAAGAACTCCATGATTGCGGAGGGCAGTGCCTCGGCCTTAAAAAATCTGGTGAACTTCAGGGCCACCCAGGAGCTTATGCCAAATGGTGATGGTGGATCCCTGCCACTAGACAAGGAAGCTGGCCATGGGGGTACGCTGCCACGGAGGTTCAGCTCACTTCGCCTAAGCTCAAATCCCACGGGATCGCTTAAAAAAGTGCGACCTTCAACAGTCAGCACAACTGGCTTTCTGAACAGAAAGTGTGAGAGCCGAGAGTCCATTTACTCGGGCAAATCCGATTCCACTAAATACTCAACCAAGTCGGAGGGAGCCAAGAATCCCTTCGAGATTGTTACACCCACAGAAGAGCAGCCCATTGACTACTCCATGAAATACATGGAGCACAAACCCAATAGCAGTAAGACCTTTGAGATCGACTTGGATCAGCCAACAGATTTCAGTGCTAGATATAAGGAGAGACGATCCGCTCAGACGGCACAGCCGGAGCTGAAGACGGAAACTAATGAGATTAGAAGTAAGGAATTGCAGCTTACCAAGTCCTCCTCGGCCACGGAGTTGCGCAATGGTCCTGGACTGGTGGCGGTTTCAGCAGCTAAGCAGAAAATTGCCACCGAGGCGGAGACGGAAACTGCAGAGCGGCCAATAAACTACTGTGAGGAAGGAACTCCTGGCAGCTTCAGTCGTTTCGACTCGCTCAACAGCCTCACAGAGAAACCGGAGAAATGCATGGCGCCGAAAACTCCAACGAAACCTGCTGTTCTACCAATACAAGCAGACGGAAATACGCCCCAAAACATCGATTCCGCATTAGAAACTCCACTAATGTTTTCGCGTCGCAGCTCTATGGACTCATTAGTGGGCGACGACGAAACTGTTGCCTGTGAGGACAATGGATCCGTGATCAGTGAATACAGTCGGATGCAGAGTGGTGTAATCTCCCCATCAGAGCTGCCTGATTCACCCACTCAGAGTATGCCTCAATCTCCGAGAAGGAATAGGAAAGTGACTACACAAAATAACTTAGATACACCGGAACAGAAGCCCAACACTGTATTTGAGGACAAGCTGAACAGATTCCACGTGGAGCACACGCCTGCCACCTTCTCCTGCGCCACCAGCCTAAGTAATCTGAGCATGATGGACGACTCCAATGCAAACGCCGTTCGAGATCAGCGTGGAAATGACATGAACGGCAATGGGGATGCTCCTCGTAGCTATTGCACGGAGGACACTCCCGCCGTGCTTTCCAAAGCGCCAAGCAATAGCGATCTCTCCATTTTGTCCATTCCGAATGACTTAAATGCGAATGAGGCGCAGCCAGTGCCTGCGCCTCGAGCTGATGTTCCCGGAATGGACACTCGGATGCCGGCAGAAGATGCAATCTCTAAGATGCGCTGCGGTGGCAATGCATTGCCCAGTTATCTGCCAGTGTCGGATGAAATGAGCAAGTACTATGTCGAGGACAGTCCCTGCACGTTTTCGGTCATCTCGGGACTTTCTCATCTCACAGTTGGCTCTGCCAAGGCTGGGCCTGTTCTGAAGCTTCCCATGCGGACTGCAGAAGAGGCGCAGGCACCCAAACTTCCTCCCAGGCGCAGTGCAGTTCAGGGAGAGGCAGAGCCGCGTTTACCGCCGAAGAAGAGCGACTCACTAAGCTCACTCTCCATGGACTCGGATGACGACTGCAATCTCCTAAGTCAGGTTAGAAAACTTCACTTTCATTTCACTGATATATTTCACTTTATAAACATTTTCTGAGACGCTCAAAAACAAGTGTCTTGGGGATAAGGAATCGTAATGTAGATATTGCAAACTCTTACACTCGAAATTATTAAAGTTGTTCCCCCTTTTCTTAAGGCCATTGCTGCGGGAAGCTGCCGACCTCAACCCAGTGGTGCCAGTACCAGTTCCAGCCTGGCAAACGCTAGTACCAGCACTCTATGCAGGGAAAATGGGCAGTCGAAGGAGCAGACCGAGGATGGCGATAAACCGAACTACAGCTCAGATGACTCGCTAGACGACGACGACGATGACGCACGGTCCAAGTCGCTTTTTGAGCAGTGCATTCTTAGTGGCATGCATAAGTCCAACGACGCCTTGGAGTCGGAGGGTGAGCCGCCGGGGCAGCGTCAGGAGATCAGTGCCCGGGATCGATTTGTCAGTAACCAGGTGCGCCAGATTGAGTCCATGTTAGCTGGACGTCAGCACTAGCAGCGGATGATTGGTTAATTGAGAAGCGCATGCATTTGTTTAGTGGCTTTTAATCTTGTCTACGCAATAATATTCTCACGGTCTCAATTTTCCTATAGTTCAGATTAAAAATTTGCACTTAAATTTAACTCTCCAACACGTGTAATATTATGTTTACCCTTCCACGAAAAAATTAAGGAAACTAAAAAGGGTGATAAGAAATTTGATACAGTCGCGGTATACATATA